TCCTAATGAGACATTTAAACCTTATAATTTTCTCATAATATATAGCCCAACTGAAAAATAATCATGAATATATCAAAACCATATTACTGTTTGGCTTGAACTTTTAAATTATGTCCATAGGAACATACTATTAAATAGCTAACAAGACGTGATATAAATGGCTACTTGGTTTAAGAGGGACATAATATTTAAATAGCTAATTAAATATGATTTAAATGACTACTTTGTTTAAATGATCTGATGGCTAAAACTAATGCGGCGCATGATTGAATTTTCCGGTTTAAGAATGGGTTAGCAAAGTTCTTAATTTACATGATAAATGGCGTTTTTTCACTCTCTTAGTCCTAACTTAAAAGCACCATTTCTTTCAGCTGCCCTTATAGATTCATTATTTCAATAATAATGAATCGTATTTATGTCATATAATGAGAATAGAAATACTACTATTTTACCAACTAGTATTTGATCATGTGTACATTCACAGAGGGGAAATAAAAATTTATATATTATATGTACGTATAAGATATTTAAGAAGTACCAACTAGTATTTGATCATGTGTCATTCACAGAGTTGAATGATTTGGTGCATCTGAGTTGGTTTTCAATCTTGCCTTCCATCCCAGAATAGCCACTCTGACATCCTTCAGTTTATTTTGAATGCCAAACAAGTATTTTCCATTCCCTTGAGAGTTCCAAGTAGTCTCAACAATTTCCTTAAAACCCTCATGTTTCTGCCACCTTTCATCATAGGTAAACCTTTTCTTGCCCCACAGAGAGTTGTTTGTTGTATCCAGCAACAAGAGACAGTGATCGGAAGAAATTAGGTGAATATGAGTAACTCTGGACTTTGGAAAATTTAAGAGCCAGCCAGGGGAAAAAAAAATATCCTATCCAACCTTTTCTCCACAAAACCCTCCCCTTGCCTATTGTTAGCCCAGGTGAAATGATAACCCTTAAATCCCCCATCCTGCATATCCATACCCCTGATAAAATTCCTAAAACCTAAGAAACTGCTAACTCCCTCCTCCTACCC